GAGCGGGGCGGGGGACGCCCAGCCTGAATCGCGGGGCTTCGTTCCGTGAGAGCGCCGCACCGCTGCGCTGCGCATCCGCTCCCCGCGCCGGTCATTCCGGCAGCGCTGGGAACGTGATGCAAGAAACGTGCCGGAGTCGGGGTCGGACATCTTCTCCTCTGGCTTTGTAAAGAAAAGAACTGGGGAGTTATTTTAGACCAGAAGTTGTGCGGCCTCCGTATCGTATTAAGTTGTTTAAATCAGAATATAATGCAACATGCGTTGACCTGTTAAAATCCACGTGGCAACCACTTCACTTCTGTGCATTTGCCGGGGAGAAACTCGTTCTGTTCCCATTCACCAGTAGCAAACCGATCAACTGGTATCTACAAAGGGCAACAGGAGAAAACTCTGGCACCGGCCTTCTAACAGCACTACTAGTGTTTCTCCAATACGTAGTTTATAAAGCGTATACACCCGTCAAATACATTTTGTGCTTGAGGCTGACAACAAAACAGGATGAAGAGGTTTGCTTCCAAATCCATGCTTTGTGCCCCAAATCTCCTGTCGAGCAGCAGGCTGTTCACGCCTGTCCCTTGGGAAGCTCTCCAACTTCAAAGGCAGCACAAGCAGCCCCGGACAATCCCAACCGGGACAGCTAACGCTGGTCTTTTCATTTCACAGAGCCAACATACAGCGACCCGCACAAAGAAATAAATGCCAAAGCAAGACACGCTGTCCAGCATACGCAATTTGTAATGTTCTTTTTGCTAGTACATACGTAAAGGAATTTTGTTGCCTGTCAACTTCCCAACTCTGACCCCTCGCAAGCCATAAATTGTAATTCCCAACCCCTTCCCCCCCAAAAGCCATAAATTGTAATTCTTTACCAGAATCAGTGACAATTACGCTGCTTCCCACACCCTCACTCCAGAGGCTTAATCATGATGAATGGAGCAGGCACAGCACGGCGCGGCCCGGCCCGGCCCAGGGCAGGTGCAGGTTCACCCCCGTGTCAGCCAGCCGCCCCCTCGCAGCGCCGCGGGCACGGCCAAGTGTCACGTGCTTGCCGTCATTCTCCATGCATGGGGATTTCAGCCCCGTCGCTCGTGAGCATCCTCCCCCCTCCTTACGTTCTCCAGCTCTCACTTCTGGCCGCCCATCCACTTACGACACTTTCTGCTATTTCTCCTGGAAATCCCACTGTTACCGCTGTACCTGAGAGTTTTGGACAGTCACAGCCAACAGCGAAGACCCTCTTCATTTCCTCTTGCTCTTATTCTGCAACAGAAGCTGCGTTCAGGGCATTTTGTGTCCTTGCACTATAGAGTCCTCCAAAGCCCTTGCCTCTTTCTTGGAAGGTAGATGAAGGGAAGATGAAGGTAGATTCAGAAAGATGAAAGGAAGGGGTGAAAACATCATTCTTAAACCTCTAAAAAGTTTTTTAAAAAAAACAAACCACAAAACCCCAAAGTTTTTCTAAAGACTAAATACCCATAGTTTCACTCAACCATTTCTGTAACTCTGTCTTCCCCTGCACACACAGCAGGCCATTCACAGCTCTCACATTTCAAACCCCGAGCACTGCCCTGGGAAATCACGTTTCAGCATCGCACAGGTCAGCGCTCCATCTTCCGGGAAGAGGGACACGGCCGGCAGGGCAGGAGCAAGCCCCTGTACCCCAGGAGCACCCCGCAGGAGTGCAGCCTCGGCCAGCTGCAAGCCCTGCCACCGAGCTGCCGGCAGCTTAAACGCCACGTTTCACAGGACGGGGCCCTGATATTTCTGAGAGTCTTCCAAGCCCTGGCCCCCATGATGGGGCCCAACCCAGTGGTGGCGGGGTGGGTAAGGTAATCAGCTCAAATGCCTTATCAGATGATCCTTTTAAAAACTTGTGCAGCTGTAAGTGGCTACCAGTAAAATTATGGGGCTTGAGAGCTCTTTAGAAGCTTGTCATTGGGGCTTGTATCTGTGGGGCCTAGAAATAAAAGACAACAGAGCTAAAATGGAAGGTCATATTCCCCACATCTGCACTCACCTCAAGATCTGCCAATTTTCTTTTTTTCTTTTTATGTCTTCCTTTCTTTCTTCAACTGGAAATAACATAGCAGTGTTTATTTTCTCCATTCTACTTTCTTCTGCACTCCAACCTCTTTAATACGGTCATTAATATTCCCCTTAACATTGACTAAAGCAATTTTGGCAGCAGCATTTTCCTTTCTTCTGGCCTTGACCACGTTATCCCTACCACCACCCTTCCTCAACCCAGATCTTGCGCACAACTACACCCATATAGCTACTTCCCCTCCACCCAAACCATTAATTATGCCTGCTTCCAACCCCGCTCATAAGCCTTCTCGTAGCCTGCTTAAAACATACTCCATGTTAAAATGCCTTAAACCCTACCTTCCACTTCAAAAATAAATCTTAGAGACCTATTCTCTAACCTGTTCCATTTGTCTAAATTGCCTCCCTTCTTGCGTTTGTCTTGTCTTGTAACCAGCTAGATTTTTTAATAGCTTACCTCTTAGAGAGAAAAACCTGTTTTATCCAGTGCTGCTCTCATATTTAGGGGTCATACTGAACACAAGGCACTTCATAAACAAGACAGACACCCCGTTGCAACGGTAGATAACCGTGGGCCATCTGTATATCCAAATATTGCCTTTATTCAATATATAATACTTCAATTTCTAGAGACCCTCAGTAGCATCCTACACGGAACACCTAAAAACAAAGAAAAAACAAAAAAAACCCCAACCAAACCTAAATTATATTGTTAGTCTGGTTACAGAAAAACCTTGAAAAATGCAGGAGTAATTTTTGAGATATTTCAAATTAGGAGTAAGAAATTCCATCAGCTTAATCCAAAGCGCAAGAATCCAGTCTACAACTTTCTCAGACTTTCCAGCAGTTACTACGACAAATCCTGCTATACGACAACCCCAGAAAATTTTAATCCCCTTTCATGGAAGCTGCTTTCAGAGGGGTTTCAGCCGTATGTCCTTGACAGTTTGCTAGGACTACGTCTCCACAGTGTGTTTGGTCACACAGGTGAAGATGGTGTTTGGAAGGCGTGCTAAATTAATCTGCAAAGACCTGATTTACAATAAAATTAAAATAAAAAAAGCCTTCACTTTTGAAAAGCAATTAAAACTACAGGAAAGCAAAGACACAAGAGAACACCTTGGCTCATCCATCTTCCCACCACTAAGACATATCAGCAGGTGGTTTGTATCAACATGGCAGCGGGAAATGCTTCCAACTACTAGCAATGTAACATCGGCCCCGGGCCTCCAGTCCATCACAGCACTTCTTGATTCTCTGGGTTTCTTGGCTTCCCAATCCCTCCCCTTGGTGCATATCCAAGTAACGATTAGCCAAAAGGAGATGGATAAGCTGTGTCTCTTTTGAAGTTTTTCCTGTGTTGTCTAGCACTCAGCTAGCAGTGGAAAAAACATCCCTCACTTCACCAGCACGTATCGATGCTGAATGCCACCAAATTCTCAGACATACACTTGTCAAAGGCAACGTCCGCCGCAGAGTTCGACACTCGTGGCCAAATTGTCTGTAAGCGTCTTTTGACTTCAGCGTTACGCTGGTACACGCTCTGGCCCTCGGTTTATAGGAACACAGGAGCTGCCAGCCAGCCAGTAAAACCCCACCGGGGAGTGCCAGGTCTCGGTCGGAGCAGGGAACAGCCTTCATGTCATCTGGCCTCGCGCAGTGCCTCAGTTAGGGTAAGCCTCACGCGCTCCAAACCCTCAGCACGTATCAACGTTATACGACACACCCTCTCCTGAATCTCAAGAATGCAGTGATAAGAGACCTTACATACAGCCAAGATCTAGCTAGGCTTCTCTGACAGTGGGTTGCAGTTGTTCTAGTTCACTCTTACTTGGTAAATCTTTAGCGTTAAGGAAGGCTGTTTCTTCCTCCAAGTAACTCTGCGGGAAGAGGGGCTTGCAAAGTGAGAGGAAGGCACCTTGTAGTTCTGGTGTTTTGCGAAGAACAGAGTTGTACTAGGATCAGACAGGGGAAAGAGCATTCTCTCGCCCTCTCTTTTTCGTCTTTCTGGATGTTACCAGATGTCTCCCCCAGCTTAGAAAAATAAATCACAAAATAAGCATGATGTAGATGGCCCTTGAATAAATCCACCTCAGTGCTCCCTCCAAGTGGAAAATAACCTTAATGTGAGAGAACGGCTCTTGTGCAGGCTGTCCAGGCAGACGTCTGGACAGATGAAATACAGTAAGTGTCTTAATGCTTTAGTGAATTATTTATGTTTGAGGTAACACACTTGTGGGAAAAAAATACTGCTTAACTTTAAATATATTTCTTTCCTTCAAAGTCTGAGCATGAGTTTAAGAATTCAGTAGCAATTCATTCCCCAGAATTCTTAGTTCTTTCACCATCAACAGCTGATATTTATATTCTACGTCAATATTCATATGTTCACTCAGGAGCTTAAATGCATGCTTCAGCTGCTTTGTGTGATGGAAGCATACAGCCACAAATCAGTCGATAACAGACTTAATTTTCTTCTAAATATTAATTACTATAAGAAGCAGTTTCCTACTTTTTGCTCACCTACTTTTGTAAGTGGAGTTTATGAGAAAAAGTTTCTGTATTTTAAGTATATGTGCATATTATTAAGTGCCTGAGAAAGTCTTCTTGCACAGCCACTTTTTTAAAAACTGTGTAACAGAAGTTCAGCTTTTCATTTTCCTTTCTAATGACTTTATGACATGTCATCAATATTTCTTTGTTTTTAAACAAAAACTTACTTCTTCCCTCTTCATCTTTTTTTTCCTGGTACAAATAGTAGAAAGAAATCACATCAACAATAGAAAAAATCTCCTCCCTGTTACAAACCTCTTATCATCTCCATTCCAGTTCAGGAGAGTACTTTATTCCTGTAAAGCACCAGTGGACACTTGTTTATGTCTTTCTAAAGTAAAATTTTCTGAATATATGCTTAATCCGAATATGATCACAGATAGCCAAAACTTTGTTTTGGGTTTTCTTTACAAATGGTTGATGTTGGAAACAAAACAGTCCAGGATGGCTGAAGATAAGAGAACTAGCAATCCGGTGAGGCTTAAATTGGAAGTAAATCAAATTTGTTATGGTCCAAAATGATTGCACTTGGAAAAAGAACTGAACTGTCTAGAAGCAGTGACAGCTGTTGCAGATAGAAGAGATATAGTAGTGACCTCAACTTATGAGAAACAAGAAATAGCGTTCTAAGTACAAATATTTATGGAGGTTAGAGTTCAGAATTAGCAAAATCACCATGCTCCCTCTCTAATGTATATACAAACACAGAATACACACTCTCTCTTTGTATCCACATTATATAGAGTAATACATATAAATCAGCAAACTTACGCCAGACTAAGAAAGCAAACAATGTCAGTATAAAGACTGATAATATTCATGGAAAAAAGACAATTTAAAAAAATACTCTGAAATCAAACATCATGAACTCAAAGAATTTGAGTTAATATTGGGATTTCAAAGAAATCCAAATTTATTAAGGTAAGAGATTCCTTAGAGGGAACAATCATAAAACCACCTCTCTTTCTTGCATTATAACCAGAAGATCATGATTTAGGTATTTATCGCCCCTGATCCCACACCACTGGAAGGCTAGTGGCTGAAAAGGTCAGTGGTCCAGCTGTCTTTCCTATCTCCAGGACAGCGGTGGCTGAGCTGCCCCAGCGTGGGCTCTGCATCAAGGCAGTTTAAAGACCTTTATGTTAAGACAGCAGTCCTGTCAGTTGTCCCAAAGTCACTTATCCCCTGCTTATGACTCAAGATACGTTGTGGTGTCATTATCTCACTACAGGGTGAAGCAGTTGCTCTTGCGCTGGAAACGCTTGGACACACGTTAAGAGATTATAGGGAGATTTTTTCCCCATAGTGGGGGGAAAAAAATCAGTGCTTGTGAGGCAGATACAAACACGCAGCCAATGTCTGTCTGTGGTGGTGTCATTTAAGAAACCCATTCATCCATGAGAACAGAGCACATATAAACATTTAAGAAGCGGATCTTCACATAAACCAGAGTTGCTGAGGTTGGAAGGCACCTCTGGAGATCACCTGGTCCACCCCCCCTCCTCAAGCAGGGCCACCTGGAGTCGGTTGCAACAAGTCCACTTGCAACAATTCTAACAATTTTCCCTCCAAACATTTCCACATCAACTACAAACCACTTCGGGTCAAAAATTGTCTCTCTCACTGTGTTGCGCTGCCTAGCAAGTGATGAGGAAATAGTGGAAGATCTGTTGCAGATTCTTCTTTATCCTCTTTTAAATTAGGTTCTTGTCTTATAAGGGTCATAAGATTCATAACTTCCATAAGGGCTAATTCTGGAGAATGCGAAATTATTCACAGGACTGCAGTTGGAAATTAAAATATAGGTGGAGGTGAGGAAAATACTCTTTCCGTTCACTGCTATGTTACAGTACAAGGCCAAACTAACTTCGTGGAGGAATATAGCAAAGACAGACTATTCCCAAGGAACAGGAGTTACCACATCATGCAGCTTTCATCATTTCGCATTGGGCAAGGAGAGATGAGATCAGTGAGACGTTACAAAGAAAAAAAAAACGTTATTTTACTGTATCACGGATTTAGTTTCTACCACTTGCTCAACCGAAATCTTGCTATGCATTATTTCTGTAGAATATATTAGGTGGTAGGTAGAAAATAGCAAGAATGAAAAAACAAAACCAAAACCCTCTCTCTTGGTAACAATCTGTACTGATAGTATTCCAGAAGGAATGTCACAACTCTCCCGTTTGTTTTCTCTTTGTTTCAGGACGGTTTCCATGGATCCCCAAACCTAGGCCCCACTGAAGGGCTCCCCAGAGCATAACGCCATGTAGCGGCAGGTCACAGACCAAGCATCACATGCAGAACACAAACAGAATTCCAGTAGCACAGTCAACACATTAAACCTCTTGCAAATACAGTTTACTGTTCAGGATATCAGCATGCTAGTATTTGAGAAAGGAGAGACAGGCCCTGGAACGCTATTAGAAGTGCAAATAAATTATGCAGTCCCTTGTGCTGTATTAGGTTTTAGTTCTAGGGAGGGAGAACCATCCCAAATGAGTTTGAGGCAGCATTTAGTGCTGGGGTGGATATAGTTATTATTACTCCACCACACCCCAATGCATCCATCCATGCAACGACTAGCTTAGGTGAAACGCTTTCTGCAATTCTCCCCTTTCTCAGCTATGAAATCATTCCTATATGTCTTTAAGTTTACTATTATTGCGCATGAACCTACACCTCCTACAATATCTGAAGTTACAAGTACTGTAAGTGCAACTTTAGCCAGCTGGCTCTTGTGAAATCTTGTTTGTTTCTTGGAGAGACGCTTAGTGCATTTCTTCGTGGTAGTTTAAAAAACTGATCTGCTGTCCGCTTGCCGAAATAGAATTTGTCATCTGCCAGAAAATTACTTTCCCAACACTGTCCAGGCTATTATCTCAAACCTGACCTGCAATAATTAACTTCCAAGCATCTGGGAGGTTAAATTGCTCGGTGATCTGTTTTTTTCTATGCAAAAGGAATACTCATTACATGAGAATCGCTATTTAGTTTACGTTTTTCCCCTCAGGAAAAATTAGAGAATGAATGCCTGCATAAATCACTTTGTTACACCCTCATTAGTTTTATCAAATGCAGTCTTCCACCCAGCACTTGATGGAAATTTTATGAGAATATGCCCATCTTTGAAAGCAACCTGAAGAGTGAAAAGGGTTCGTCTGTTGCTGTATAGTCCTTATCCCAGTGACAGTAAATTGAAGTGCAAATGGATTTTCCTTTTTCGCTCCTAATCAAATATCTATGTCAAGATATCACTGCTTACAGACATGACAGCAGATAATCCGGGAAGTGATAGGAGAAGGACCTGCTCATACTTTACTGGTTGCATGTTGTTTTTCCTGTAGAAGCTGTGTTGCCTGGCCAAAGAACCACAAGTGAGTGCTAAAGAGGAAGTTTGCTCTGACATTAACGTGGCCAGCTACTGACCTCTGCCTTGTTCAATTGCCAGCCATGAACTCCAGCCATTTTGTACTTGAGATGGCGTTTTGGAAAACTTCTCTAGAGAGCCCCGTAATGTTACAACAACGTGCAAGAAAAGTTAGCTGTACCTTAAAGAGAATGCTGAAGGTGCAAACTCCAAGCAACAGAGACTTAAAGGATGAAAAGCAAGAGTTACAGGTGCCATTACCAGTCTGGATGTTTGCTCTAAAGCCTTAGTGGTCTGTTAATGTTGTTTATCTGCCCTAATCTAAAACTCACAAATTCTCTACTGATACCCTAAGGGGGTTATCAGCTGATAATGGAGAGAAAGCTGGACCCACTAGCTTTGCCACAAGCCACAATTTCTCTGTGACGTTGACAGTAAAAGGTTGTCCCCCACGACATTGAGTGGCAGTAGTAGGGATCAATGTATGCATGTTATCAGCGGATGTCACAGTCTTCTGACAGCAGACGAAGGGAAAGGCTGTGTAATCCTCCCCAGACCCAGGAATGAAAACCAGGAGGACACTGAAATAGGCACAGACTCATCTTCCTTTCTCTTGTCTGCTCCACCCTCCACCCCCAGCCTGTCGCGTCTCCTCATCCTTTGTCCCCACCCTGTTCCTTTCCCCTGCTGTCAAGCACAGGTTTCTAGCCTGTTTCTA